CTGTAGCATACTTCTCTAAACAATTGGATGGAGTAAGCAAAGGATGGCCGGGATGCCTTTGGGCAGTGGCCGCCACGGTTTTGATTATCCAAGCAGCTCGAAAACTTCCTTTGGGACAAAAGATGACTGCGCACACTGCCCACACTGTAAGCTCCGTTTTAGATGATATAGAAATCATAAGCGATAAACAGGAAATGGAGACTGTCGTGCATGATTGTACAGAAACTATAGAAACTGTATATGCAAGCAGACCCGACTTGAAGGAGGAGCCACTGGAGGAAGCCGACCGAAGGTGGCATACTGATGGGAGCAGTTTCGTTACTGGTGGGAGCAGTTTCGTAAAGAATGGAGTTTGAACGGCAGGGTATGCTGTAACCACCACCGACCAACTGGTGGAAGCAAACTCAGTCCCTAAGGGTGCATCTGCACAACGAGCTGAAATAAGGGCCCTAGTGAGAGCGCTGGAGCTGGCCGAAGGGCTGCGAGTAAATATTTGGGCGGATTCAAAACATGCCTTCGGTGTAGTCCATGCCCATGGAGCAACTTGGAAGGAACGAGGACTCTTGACTGCTCAAGGGGAAGGTATAAAACATGCTGATAGAAATTTGCGACTTTCAGACGCTGTACAACTTCCGTCAGCAGTGGCGATTATGCACTGCAAAGGGCATCAGAAAGGTAGCACTGACAGGGAAGTGGGAAATACATTGGCTGATCACGAGGCAAGGCGAGCTGCAGAGCAAGGTGAGGTATTAAGTTTAATCCCTGAAAAATCTTTGCCACTACCTGAAACAATTGAATATGAGGAAAAGGATCAAAAGCTGATCACTAACTTAGGAGCTGAAATCGGCCCATCAGGATGGGCACTGTTGAAAGATAACAGAATAATAGTTCCCGTTAGCATATTGTGGAAACTTGTAAAAACAGAGCACGACAAAACTCATTGGGGAACTGAAGCCTCATACAACTCTCTTATTAAGCAAACTGTAGCTAGAAATTTATATCAGACTCTAGAGAGTGTCGTTAATAGATGTGAAGTGTGCTTAAAGAACAACCCAAAAGTAGAAAAGCGTGTGAGGTCTGGAAATAGCAGCAGCGGAGATAGTCCAGGTCAAAACTGGCAGAGAGATTTCTCGGAACTCCCCAGAAAAGGGGGATATAGGTGTTTGCTGGCACTAACTGACACTTTTTCTGCACGGCCTGAAGCCTTCCCTTGCAGAACAAATAAAGCCCGAGAGGTAACAAGAAGTCTATCAAAGGAAGTTATTCCTAGATTTGGAGTACCAGAGGCGATGTCTTCTGACAGAGGACCACATTTCGTATCACAAGTGGTCCAGTAAGTTAGTAAGTTTTTAGGGATGAATTGGAAATTACATACAGCTTATTGCCCGCAAGCAAGCGGGCAAGTGGAGAAAATGAACCATTTAATAAAAACACAACTAAGTAAAATTTGTCAGGAAACCGATTTAAGATGGGAGCAAGCCCTCCCTCTTGCTTTGCTAAGACTCAGAACCAAACCAAGGACTCAGGAAAAATTGAGCCCTTTTGAAATCCTGTATGGGAGACCATTTCAAAGCAGGTATCAGGGGCAAGATCTTACCCAGGTGGGAGAGGTTAATCTGCAACGATATTTAATAGCATTAGGGAAACAATCACAAAAGGTAAATGAATTAGTCATGTCCAATAGAGCATGGGGTTTAGACTCCCCGATACATCTGTTTAAAGCTGGAGATTGGGTTTATGTTAAAAATATTTCAAGTGATCCCCTCGAAGGAAAACGGAGCAGCCCTTTCCAAGTTCTGCTCACGACCTACACTGCGGTCAAGCTGGAGAAGCACGCTGCCTCCTTTTCCCGAATATGGCAATAAGGGAGTGCCTCTAATAGGAATACCAATTCCTTTCAATCCATCCTGGAATAATTTGTGGATAAATCCCAAATTCACCAAAAAGAATGAAACCAACCTTCAAATTTGGGATGTATGGAACCCTAATCTTTCCAATGTCAAGCGCGTAACGACAAACAAGACTGGAATGGGTCATATTTCAGTAGGACGTTACCCATATTGCGATCGGCCGGTGCAACTACGAAGAAAGAAACAGCAGAATGATTATTGGAATGTTCCTAGAGGTGGCGGTCGGTATTGGTTATGCGGTGGCCAAGCCCGAAAAGCTTTGCCTCCAAATTGGTCGGGAACGTGAACACTAGGAACAGTGGTCCCTAACATGACAATATCAATAGGTTACAGGAACAAAGTGGTTGGATAAAAACCTATCTTAAACGAATTAAAAGGACTCATAATGCCGTAGCAGATCGCCCTTACACTTTTCACAGCTTTGCAAGATGGTTCCTCCCTCGGCTTGGCGCACGTGAGCTAGAGAAAACAACCGTAAACGTATCTGCTGCAATGGAAAAGATGGTAAATAGAACCACAGACGCCACACAGGCGTTACCAATCGAAGTGTCCAGTCTGTCTCAGGTGGTGTTACAAAACAGAATGGCCCTTTGCGGATGCGGCCCCCCTGCACCGGCCGGTGTTGTCCTCCCATGGCAGAGCCCATCACTGAGGCTGTGGACCAAGGCTATGGAGAGGGACCAAGATGGTCTCCCTTGGGGTCACCATGGCGAGGCTGGAGGGGCATAGGAATGCCAGGACATGGGCACAACTCACCTGGGCTGCCTGCCTCCATTTGTCTTGTGCTGGCAGCCACCAGTAACGTCCTGATCCAGCTGGCAAGGAACAAAAGCAGGTACCGAAGCCAGCATAGCTTCTGACCGGGCAGGATTTTATTACTGCAATCCATCAGCATTGCTCCTTAACCCCAGGCGATAGGCTGCCCACAGACCTTCTTCAAAGGTCAGGGCGTTCAGTCTGTATCAAGGGATATTCTGCTCTTTCCTCCTCTTTTCACTGTATCACCTCAGTAATTAACTCGCATCTCATCGGCTCAGCTTTCAGCAACTTCTGCACGGGCACAGCTGTGGCCTGGGAGGACAATCCTTGGTTACAGATATGATTTTCTCTAACAATTGCCTGTACTACTATTTTTCACAGCTCGCTCAATCCCAGCTTGAGCAGCAAATGTAATTATTCATTAACCCTTTCTCCTTATTATTCACTAACTCTTTCTTGACCCCTAACATTACAGGGGTTTAAACCTCAGCCCTGCCAACGAATAACTTCTTCAGCACTTTCTGCTGTGGACTTCTTCCCTGCCTGCCTGCTCCCCCTTGCCCTCTCCCTGTTGTGCTAGGGCTCAGGCGTTAGCACCGCAGGATTTAGCTGTGGTAATGATTGCCAGACCCAAGCCGCTTCACTGGCTGCCCTTTGGAGGGTACAAACCTCACGGAGGTCCCCCAGCTCTTGGCTTGTTTTACTGTTGACTTGGCTGAGGCTGGTCAAGAAATCTACCTCCTGCAGCACTGAGCTGGTCCCTGCACCTGCAGGATACGCCGCTGGGATGGGGATTGTTAAATACAGGAAAAATAAAGGTTATGGGCAGATAGCACCAATATTGTTTGTGTGACGCTAAAATAAACCTACGGCTGTAAATGAGCTGTGGGTTGCCATCAGCAGCGGTGCCAGCACGGAGACCTTGTGTTACCCATCCCCGTGCCCACCGGTAGCCATGGGATCCCTCCGTGAGCTCCCTCAACCCAGGTGATGGCAAGGGGATGGTGGCAAGGCGGTGATGGCGAGGGGGTGATGGCTGCCCCTCTTGTCCCCTGCAGCCTTCCCAGAGCAACCGTGCTCTTCATCAGGAACCACGGCCATGCTCTCGGTAGTGCCTGCCTGCTGAAAAAACAGCCAAAGCAAAGAGCAGCTGTGTGGGAAAAACATACCTGGTCGTGCAGTTGATTTCTAAGACAGAGGAAGGCCAACACTGGGGCAGGAGTTTCCCGCGGGCAGGCAGCTTTCTGGCCAGGGAGCTCCTGCGGGCAGGGGTGCGAGAGGGCTGTGGGTCTCCTGCAGAGAGGAGAGCGGGGCCTTGAGATGCCGGCAGCCTAAATGCAATGCTCCCCAGCCTGGGTAGCGATGAATTCTACTGTTGGAGAGCAATGGGGGTCAAATGGGAGATTAAAGGGAAAGCAAAATTTGGGAAGGATTTCTGAGGTGTTGCAAAGAGTTGCCTTGCTTCCATTTTAAGAAAAGGAGCACTTTTGGGTGAACAGGGCTCCATCAGCCCTTGCTGTGATGTCTGTGCAGTTAAAATACACATCTTTTAGGAGACTGCCTTGAAACTCACGGAGGAATGGGTGGGAAAATCTGGTGTGAACCGAGCCACTTCAGCCTCCCTGGCCAGCAACAACTATAACGTAAAGGGAATGATATAAGTACATACTTCAAGTTATTTAAGAATCCCTGTGTGAATACAATTTTTGTCAGCATTTAAAAGTGCCGTACAAGATATGCAGGCAATGTTCGTTTTTCATAAACAACATAATTTCCTTCCAACAAAAACCAGTTTGTCAAAAGAGCAGCAAGGCTTCATGCCAGCCCCAGGCGAGAGGAGACGGGGCGCTGTGTAGCCTGATCTGCGGCCACTTCAGTACCAGGGAGGGGAATGAAGCAAAGCCCCAGAAGGAGCCCGGTGCTGGCGGGGTTTGCAGGAGGATACCTGGTGAGGAGAAGCAGGGTGAGGCCGTGTGCTGTGGCTGATCCTGGGGCGCATTGGGTGGCAGAAGAGACAACAGCCCCCGAGAGGGGTTTTCCCTGGCTAAGCATCCATCCTGGCAGTCACTGACCTGCAGGGGCCAGGGCCTCCCCCTGAGGTGCCAGGGAGGAGTGAGCAAAGAGGGACGGTTTCAGCAGGCTCTTCTGGCAATATCTGCCTCTCTAACGGCCGGGAACTGCAAATTGGGAAACACCCCGATTGCACAATGCTCTGGCCAGAGCTGCCACCTGCAGCCCTGGCAGCAATAAAAAGGCGGGAGAGCAGGCACATTGGCAGAGCCCTGCAAGGAGCACATCCCCGGGTACGCCAGCTGTCTGCCCGCTGCAGAGATGGTGCAAGTGACTCCCTTGCTCCTGATGCTCAGCCTGGCCCTGGTGACTCCCAGTCTCTCCTCAAGACAGGTAACGGCAGGGCTGGGGTGCACGGGGCAGGGTGGGCAGGAGGGCTGCGGCTCCGGCGGGTGCCCGCTCCTGCCTCCCTGCCCGCACCCGGGCTGTGCTGTGGCACCAACGCCGAGTCCCCTCCGCTCCAGTGCGTGCTGACCGGGAAGTGGACCAACGACCTGGGCTCCAGCATGACCATCGGGGCCGTGAATGGAAAAGGCGAGTTCACTGGCTCCTACCATACAGCTGTGACAGCCACCACAAACGAGCCCACGGTGTCACCACTGCAGGGGTCCCAGCACCGTACGAACCAGAAGGGCCAGCCCACCTTCGGCTTCACTGTCAACTGGAACTTTTCAGGTGCTTCTCCTTTCCCAGCCTCCTTGCAGCGTCCCCAGACCTCCCCTGCCCTCCCTGGGATGTCTCTGATGCTTTTCTGCCCTCCCTGCAGCATCCTTGATGATCCCCTGCCTTCCTCTGTGGTGTCCCCAATGCTTCCCCATCTCTGCAGCGTCCCCAGCCCTCCCCTGCCCTCCCTGGGATGTCTCTGATGCTTTTCTGCCCTCCCTGCAGCATCCTTGATGATCCCCTGCCTTCCTCTGTGGTGTCCCCAATGCTTCCCCATCTCTGCAGCGTCCCCAGCCCTCCCCTGCCCTCCCTGGGATGTCTCTGATGCTTTTCTGCCCTCCCTGCAGCATCCTTGATGATCCCCTGCCTTCCTCTGTGGTGTCCCCAATGCTTCCCCATCTCTGCAGCGTCCCCAGCCCTCCCCTGCCCTCCCTGGGATGTCTCTGATGCTTTTCTGCCCTCCCTGCAGCATCCTTGATGATCCCCTGCCTTCCTCTGTGGTGTCCCCAATGCTTCCCCATCTCTGCAGCGTCCCCAGCCCTCCCCTGCCCTCCCTGGGATGTCTCTGATGCTTTTCTGCCCTCCCTGCAGCATCCTTGATGATCCCCTGCCTTCCTCTGTGGTGTCCCCAATGCTTCCCCATCTCTGCAGCGTCCCCAGCCCTCCCCTGCCCTCCCTGGGATGTCTCTGATGCTTTTCTGCCCTCCCTGCAGCATCCTTGATGATCCCCTGCCTTCCTCTGTGGTGTCCCCAATGCTTCCCCATCTCTGCAGCGTCCCCAGCCCTCCCCTGCCCTCCCTGGGATGTCTCTGATGCTTTTCTGCCCTCCCTGCAGCATCCTTGATGATCCCCTGCCTTCCTCTGTGGTGTCCCCAATGCTTCCCCATCTCTGCAGCGTCCCCAGCCCTCCCCTGCCCTCCCTGGGATGTCTCTGATGCTTTTCTGCCCTCCCTGCAGCATCCTTGATGATCCCCTGCCTTCCTCTGTGGTGTCCCCAATGCTTCCCCATCTCTGCAGCGTCCCCAGCCCTCCCCTGCCCTCCCTGGGATGTCTCTGATGCTTTTCTGCCCTCCCTGCAGCATCCTTGATGATCCCCTGCCTTCCTCTGTGGTGTCCCCAATGCTTCCCCATCTCTGCAGCGTCCCCAGCCCTCCCCTGCCCTCCCTGGGATGTCTCTGATGCTTTTCTGCCCTCCCTGCAGCATCCTTGATGATCCCCTGCCTTCCTCTGTGGTGTCCCCAATGCTTCCCCATCTCTGCAGCGTCCCCAGCCCTCCCCTGCCCTCCCTGGGATGTCTCTGATGCTTTTCTGCCCTCCCTGCAGCATCCTTGATGATCCCCTGCCTTCCTCTGTGGTGTCCCCAATGCTTCCCCATCTCTGCAGCGTCCCCAGCCCTCCCCTGCCCTCCCTGGGATGTCTCTGATGCTTTTCTGCCCTCCCTGCAGCATCCTTGATGATCCCCTGCCTTCCTCTGTGGTGTCCCCAATGCTTCCCCATCTCTGCAGCGTCCCCAGCCCTCCCCTGCCCTCCCTGGGATGTCTCTGATGCTTTTCTGCCCTCCCTGCAGCATCCTTGATGATCCCCTGCCTTCCTCTGTGGTGTCCCCAATGCTTCCCCATCTCTGCAGCGTCCCCAGCCCTCCCCTGCCCTCCCTGGGATGTCTCTGATGCTTTTCTGCCCTCCCTGCAGCATCCTTGATGATCCCCTGCCTTCCTCTGTGGTGTCCCCAATGCTTCCCCATCTCTGCAGCGTCCCCAGCCCTCCCCTGCCCTCCCTGGGATGTCTCTGATGCTTTTCTGCCCTCCCTGCAGCATCCTTGATGATCCCCTGCCTTCCTCTGTGGTGTCCCCAATGCTTCCCCATCTCTGCAGCGTCCCCAGCCCTCCCCTGCCCTCCCTGGGATGTCTCTGATGCTTTTCTGCCCTCCCTGCAGCATCCTTGATGATCCCCTGCCTTCCTCTGTGGTGTCCCCAATGCTTCCCCATCTCTGCAGCGTCCCCAGCCCTCCCCTGCCCTCCCTGGGATGTCTCTGATGCTTTTCTGCCCTCCCTGCAGCATCCTTGATGATCCCCTGCCTTCCTCTGTGGTGTCCCCAATGCTTCCCCATCTCTGCAGCGTCCCCAGCCCTCCCCTGCCCTCCCTGGGATGTCTCTGATGCTTTTCTGCCCTCCCTGCAGCATCCTTGATGATCCCCTGCCTTCCTCTGTGGTGTCCCCAATGCTTCCCCATCTCTGCAGCGTCCCCAGCCCTCCCCTGCCCTCCCTGGGATGTCTCTGATGCTTTTCTGCCCTCCCTGCAGCATCCTTGATGATCCCCTGCCTTCCTCTGTGGTGTCCCCAATGCTTCCCCATCTCTGCAGCGTCCCCAGCCCTCCCCTGCCCTCCCTGGGATGTCTCTGATGCTTTTCTGCCCTCCCTGCAGCATCCTTGATGATCCCCTGCCTTCCTCTGTGGTGTCCCCAATGCTTCCCCATCTCTGCAGCGTCCCCAGCCCTCCCCTGCCCTCCCTGGGATGTCTCTGATGCTTTTCTGCCCTCCCTGCAGCATCCTTGATGATCCCCTGCCTTCCTCTGTGGTGTCCCCAATGCTTCCCCATCTCTGCAGCGTCCCCAGCCCTCCCCTGCCCTCCCTGGGATGTCTCTGATGCTTTTCTGCCCTCCCTGCAGCATCCTTGATGATCCCCTGCCTTCCTCTGTGGTGTCCCCAATGCTTCCCCATCTCTGCAGCGTCCCCAGCCCTCCCCTGCCCTCCCTGGGATGTCTCTGATGCTTTTCTGCCCTCCCTGCAGCATCCTTGATGATCCCCTGCCTTCCTCTGTGGTGTCCCCAATGCTTCCCCATCTCTGCAGTGTCCCCAGAGCTCCCCTGCCCTCCCTGTGGTGTCCTTGATGGTCCCCTCTCCTCCCCTGCAGTGTTCTTGATGGTCCCCTGCCTTCCCCTGCAGTGTCCCCAGTGCTGTCCCGTCCCCTGTGGTGCCCCTCATGCTCCCCCGCCCTTGACCCCAGGGCTCCTTGGCTGGTGTCATCTCCCAGTCCCAGCGCGCAGAGGGTGCGCTGGGGGCTGAAGCCCGCCACTGTCTGCCCATCTCCACACGAGACCCCCAGCCCTCTGACCCCCTCCTGCCTGCTTTCCCCATCACCGCTGTCCCCAAGGGCAGGGACAGCCTGGGTCTACTGCCCCCTGTGCTGGGGCAGGCTGCAGGGCCACATCTCGGCACTGACCCCCTCCCCGTCCCCTCAGACTCCATCACCGTCTTCACGGGCCAGTGCTTTGTGGACAAGAATGGAAAGGAGGTTTTGAAGACCATGTGGCTCCTGCGCTCACGTGTGGAGAACATGAAGGACGACTGGAAAGCCACCAGGTGAGCCCCCTGTCCCTGCCCCAGGCAGGTCCCCTGCGCATCCCTGGGGGGTCGGGGCTCTCCCACCCCGCAGTGCTCAGCGCCCGTCGGAGCTGCTGCCAGCGTGGGGGTGACGGGGGATGGGGTACTTGTGCACGGCCTCCCTGGGGGTCCTGCCACGGTGTAAATGCTGCTGGCGGGTGGGAGGGGGCGTTCAGCACGGGGAGGGTGCATTTGCCCTGTGCAAGGCTGCATGTCCCACCCTTATGTCTCCTCCCGCTCTGTCCCTGCAGGGTCGGCACCAACGTCTTCGTCCGCCTGCAGCCGCAGAAGGAGTGAGGGCGGCAGCGCGGGGTGTTCCCTGGCCGGCAGCGGTGCCGGAGATGCAGACCCCCCTCCTCCTGCCCCACCACCTGCTTCTCCCAATAAAGCTTTGCTGTAAACAACCACCTGGCTCCTGTTGTGTCGTGGCTCAGTGCCCACATTCCCCCGTCCCCGCCACGGCATCCCATGGCCTCTCCTGTCACCGTTCCCAATGCCCGGTGTGTGTCCCCTGCCGTGAATCCCCCCTTAGCCCGACCTCCTCTGTCGCAGCCCCCACTGCCCCGCCGTGCTCCCTCGGGATCCCTGCCTCGCCTGAGGGAGCAGGACCCCGCTCAGTCCGACACGGTGGCTGGTGGCCCGTCTCCCACCAGGGTGGCCTTTGGCAGGAGGCCCTGTGTGGGCGGCCGCTGCCCAGCCGCAGCTCCCTCCACTAGAAAAGGGGCCGAGCGGGTGCAGGGCAGCAGCACAGGCAGAGCCCGGGCACCACGCACGGCCGCCCCTGCCGCCGCTGCTGCCATGGGGAGCCTCAGCTGCTGCCTCCTGCTCGCCCTGGCCCTGCTCGGCCCCCGCGCCACTGCTGCCAGGAAGGTAAGGGCAGCCTGGGGGCAGCTCCCGGCCGGGGGGCTGCCCGCTCCTGCTCTGCCATGCCGTGACATGCCGTGCTGTCCTTAGGGTGCAGGGTGACTGGCCGAGGGGCTGCACACCCTGGCTCTGCCGTGCCGTGCCATGCCGTGCCATCCCTGGGGTGCAGCGTGAACCGCCAAGGGGCTGCCTGCTCTTGCTGTGCCATCTGGTGCCCTGATGTGCCATGCTGCGCTGTGCCTCCCTGTGCTTTGGCACAGTGTGTCATGCCATGCTGTGCTGGGCTGTGCCGTGCTATGCTGTGCCGTGCCATGCTATGCTGTGCCGTGCTGTGCTGTGCAGTGCTGTGCTGTGCCACCCCTGGAGCCCAGTGTGCACGGCTGAGTGTGTTGCACGCTTCCACTCCGCCGTGCCATGCTGTGCTGTGCCATCGCAGCACACAGCGTTTGTGTCCTCGGGGCTGCCTGCTCTCGCTGTGCTCTGCTGTGCCGTGCCATGCCAGGCTGTGCCATCCCAGGGTGCAGTGTGCACGACCGAGGGGGCTGCCAGCTCTGGCTGTGCTGTCCCCAGGGGGAGTGTTGGTCACCTCCCCCTGCTATAGGGGGTACCCGGCACCCCCAGCTCTGCACTGCCCTGCCACAGGAGGCAGAGGTGCTGGCCCGGGTTGTGCCCGTGCCACCGGTCCCAGCTGCCGTGCAGAGGGGCCGTGCCAGCCCCAGATACACGGGGCACATGTCCCACTGCCCGGGCAAGCTGGAGGGGGGCCATGGCTCGGCACTGCCCAAGGCACCGGCACAACCCCCGGTCCCCAGTGCAACCTGCAGGGCCTGTGGAGGAACGAGCTGGGCTCCAACATGACCCTCTCAGCCCTGGGCACGGCTGGGACCTTCTCGGGCTCCTATCACACTGCCGTGACGGCCACCAACAAGCAGATCCTGGTGTCACCTCTGCAAGGGGCCCAGCAGCACCCCGGTGACAAGGGGCACCCCACCTTCGGCTTCACCGTGCAGTGGCAGTTCGCAGGTACAGCAGCACCCGGCACAGCATCCCAGGGCAGCCATGGATCCCCTGCCCGTGACGGGAGCAGGGTGCCCCCCGGCTGGTCCCACATACCCGCCGTGGCACCCAGAGAAACCCTGGCTGTGGTCACAGACCAGCCATGCACATCGCTCCTGACATGGGACAGGGCGGGGGGAGGGCTGTCTGTCCAGGGTGGAAGGCAGGGATGTCTGTCTGTCTGTCTATCTGTCCGAGGGACACAGCAGGTATGGTGCCCATCTCTCTGTCCAGGCAAGGTGGAAGCCACCCATCTGGGCAATGAGGCAGGGAGGTCCATCTGTCTGTCCAGGGCATGTGTGGGGGGGGGTGTGTCTGTCTGTCTGTCTGTCTGTCTGTCTGTCTGTCTGTCTGCCAGGATCAGGTGCCCGAGGTTGCCCAGTCTGGAGGTGCAGGCTCTGAGCCCCTTCTGCCCCACTTGAACCCCACCAGACTCCACCACCGCCTTTGTGGGCCAGTGCTTCGTGGACCGCCGTGGGAAGGAGATGCTGGAGACCGTGTGGCTCCTGCGGGAAGAGGTCCCATCCCACAGGGATGCCTGGAAAGCCACCAGGTGAGTGCTGACCCTGCCCTCCTGCCCCACAGCCCTGCCTGCCCTGCTGCTGACACAGCTTCCCCGCAGGGTCGGCACCTCCGTCTTCACCCGCGTCAAGTGATGGGGATGGGGACGGGAGCTGCCTGCACCCTGCCTGCATGACCGAGGCTCTCTGCTGCCCTGCTCCCGAGCTGCGCTCCCGCCTGCTCCCAGCATCCTGGCTGGGAAACACACCCTCACCCTGCCCTGCTTCCTCCCAGTGCCTCCCAGCGCCTCCCAGCAGCCTACTGGTGGGCTCCCCCTTCCCAGAGCTTGCTGCCGCCACACCTGGAGCTGAATAAACCTTGCTCTGCCTGGCAGAGAGCCGTGCCCCGTCTGTCCCTGGGGTGCAAGAAGCCACTCTGTGGCCGTGGGCAGGGCAAGGTGGGGGGCGGGCGGTGTCTCGGGGAGGGCAGGGTGGTGTTTTGGGGGATGGGGAGGGACGGGGCTGGGGGACAAGGGGAGGACAGCAGCTGGGTAATCCCGCTTCCCAGGCATGGCTTCGGGCCTCGGCAGGTGCCTTCTTGACCGTGCGCCCATTCGGGGCCCCCGCAGGGGCTCTGCGGTGGGTGGCCCCAGGCAGCATCCCTGGCGTGGAGCAGCGGGACACCACACAGCCAGGGGTCGGGGTGAAGGCTGCGTGCAGGCAAGCCAGCACACTTGCCTGGCCTCATCCTGCATCTCTGCACCCCAGGCACCAGCGGGGAGAAGCTGTGCAGGCAGGGGGAGGCATGAAGGGCTTGAAGGAGGGTGCTGCCTGGGGCTGCAGGGCTGCTGGGGGAAGAGGCTGTTGGATGGGGCAGGGACTTTGGGGCAGCGAGCACACAGCAGCCTGGGAAAGTGTCAGGGCCTGTCCACCATCCTCTTGCTCTTCCGGTGTGCCCGCACTTCCCCAGCCTTCCTCAGCCTCTGCTCCGCTCCCTCCTCCCCTGCTGGGCTCTGGGGCTGCTCTCAGCCCCCACGGCTCCTGGAGAGGTCACGGAGCAGAGCCTATCCTGGGCATGCCTGTACCAGCCGAGCCCAACGGGCTGACACGCCCGGTGGTTCAGCTTTCAACGGGAAGCCACCCCTGCATCCTCATCCTCAACCCTGCACCCTCATCCTCACCCCTGCCTTCCACACGCAGCCCCGCAGTTCAGCCCCGCTGCACACTGCCATCCTTAGCACTGCCCTGACTACCCCGTGCTCTTTCTCACCCTCCCCAAACTCCCGCTGTGGCTGTCACCAGCAGCACGAGTGGGTCCCCAAACACTTCTCCAAACAGGCTGTAAGGTTAAAACCTTGGGACGCCCGCGGGAGTGGGAGGATGAGGCTGGGAGCCCTGGTGGGGGAAGGGGACGTGGGGCCATCGAGAGCCGTATGGGACCCCCGGGGAGCAAGACTTCCTTTCTGTCCTTTCATCACCCCCACGGCTGCAAATTCCCTGCCTCTTGGGGTCTCCTAAGAAGGCAGCCCACGCGACAGGAGACGATGGAAGGCTCCTGCCTGCTGAACAGGGGAAGGGAAACAGAAAGCAAAACCATAAGGTCTGCAGAAAGCCGGCACCGACAGTGTCACCGCCACCGCCCCCCACGCCACGCTGCCAGCTGTCCCAACCGTTCCCCATCCTGGCCCTGCTTCCCATCCGGCCCCGTCCCTGTTCCTTCAGGGGCTGTCCTGCTTCCCCACTCCGACAGCCCACCCTGGCCCGATCCTGCCCCGACCTTCACTGGCCTTTTGCTCTCGCCTGCTCCGTGCGAGCAGGGCTGCCCTGGGGTTTTCCTCTTGCTGTTGGGACAGGTTCGCTTCCTTCGTCTGTCAAATCCCTGGACCCACTGCAGATCACCCGCCCTCCCCGCACACATTCCCTCGCCCTGCCCTCGTGACTCCCTGTCCCTCTGTCCGTGCCCTGTAGTAACCTGGGGATGGTTTGGGGCGCAGGGGCTCCTGCAGGGCAGGGGTGAAGCCCAGGCACAGCCCTCAGCCAGGAGGCACTGGGACCCAGGCCAGGGACCCGCAGGCTGGGATGTGTCAGCGGATAGCTCCGGGCAGCCCTGCCTACATCCCCATCCCTGTCCCCATCCCCACCCCTGTCCCCATCCCAGTCTGAGGCAGGGGGCGATGCTCCGGGTGTCGTCCTTGTCCCCTAGGAGGGATGTGCATGGGGATGCCTTCCCTTCCCTGCTGTAGGGGGGCATGCATGTGGGGACCCCCCCGGCAGGGGATTTGGTGCAGGGATAACCTAGGGGCCCTGCCCCAAGGGGTGGCTTGCCCCTGCCCGGCGAGGTGCGGTGTGGGAGAGGACAGGCAGCGCTTGCAGCCGGAGCCTTGCAGGAGGGATGCTGCAGGGCACCGGCTGTGCCGCCTGCTTGGCTGTGCAGGAGCCCACCATGAACCCAAAGGCTCTGCCCATCCCAGTGGGCTCTCCACTCGTGCCACACATCGGTGCTGAGCACAGCACACATCCCCAACACGCACAGGCAGACGTGTCCTGGGGTCACACAGCTCACCTGGTGGGGCTGGAGCGGGGGTCCTTCCTGTATTCCTACCTCTCTGGGGCTCCTGCCTTTAGCTTTTCCTCTTCACCGCTCCCCTTCTGCTTGGCTTGCCCCAGCTTTTGGCCCTCCTGACATGGCTGAGGTGGCAGTGACTTTACAAAATCATGTCTCTTAAAAATGAGCGCCTGAGCACACGCGGGGCTCTGGAGGCACCCTGCTGTGCGGCTGCCAGGGGGTCAGCCCGCGGGGCAGGGGTCCGGGCAGTGTGCAGGCAGCCCCCAGGGACACCTCTGCTTGTCCCCCAGCACTGCGACCTGGCCGGCTGGTGGGAGAATGAGCTGGGCTCCAGGACGCACGGGTCTGCAGTCGACAGCCAGGGCAACTTCTCCGGCGAGTACCACACCGCTGTGTTGAGCGCCCAGAAAGCCATCGAGCCGGCCGCCCACATTGGCTCCCAGCACTCGGATGAGGATGGGCAGTGCACCTTCGGCTTCATCATCAACTGGAAGAAGTTTTCCCACCCAGCGACTGGAAAGCCACCGGCTGAGCCACGGGACCCCCTCCTGGGACTCCTGCCTCTCCGCCGGCTGGGCACTGATGGACTTCTGCTTCCCCGCAGGACCGGCCACAACGTCTTCACTCGGATGGGCTCAGAGGAGGAGGGAGAACCCTCTCACTTCAGCTGGGCTTGGGAGACCCCTCAGCAGCATCAGTGTGTACCAGCATCGGGGTTGTTAGCAGCTCTGGGGGAAGGTATCCCCCCAAACCAAATAAAATTAATTTTTTTTTCCTTTAAACCCAACCTTGTGCAGTCTGTGGATATGTCCTGGGGCAGCTAGGCTAAAGCACGGCCGTAGGTGTGGGGTGAAGCTCTCACCCTGTGTAAGAGACCAAAGTGTTAAGAACAATTGTCTCAAAGCTTGCTTGTGTGTGTTTATCTGGTCAGACCGGACAGTAGACCACTCTTTTGTCTGATAAGACCCGAGGGCAGACCACTCTTTGGCTTATCAAGTACCACCATCTGGCAAGGCAACTTGTGCAAACTTGCTGAAGCAGCAGGCCATTCTTTGGCTTACCAGGTACCACCAGGAATAGGACACCAACTGGTATCCGGGTCAGGCCGCTTGCCCCACCAGTTGATGGGCATGTGTTGGGTCCAGGATGTTGCCCTGGGTAACCAAACGGAAACGAGAGGGCAAACTCCCTCTCCAACACCAGCTAAAAGACGGCACAACAAAACCTGAGTGTGGCCATCCACCACCGAAAAACTGAAGACTGAGGACCAACGCTTTACTCTTTTATATTTACCCAATAAAATGTCTGATTGGCGGCATATGACCTCGTTTGTGTCTTAATTTCACCCTTGGGATCATTACAAACCTTCCCCGAGCCTTACAATCAGACCGGGACTTAACACCCTGTGATTCCAGGAAGAGACCGTCTGCAAGAAAGCCCCTTTTCCAGCCCAAATGGGATGGTGTGTCCCCAAAGTGACCCTCTCACACCAAGCACAGGCTAGCACTGGCTCTTCCCTGCTCAATGCCAGGTGAAGATGATGGGAGGGGAAGCTGGGGGGCCCTTCTGCACCCCAAAAACCTGGCTGGGAGTCCCCCTGGCTCCAAGGCAGCCCTCAGGCAGGCCGGCACGGGGGCTTGGCTGTGTCCGCAAACCTGGTGAGCAGCGAGGGCTGCTCGTACCGGCAGCACAGCGCCAGTAGCTGCAGCACATCCAGCCCCAAAGCTCCTCCTAGGAACACGTGTGTGATTTACTGGAAAATGGACATCCAGCAAATCCAGCCCCAAACTCCTTGCCTGCCAGACTTTGTGACTTACTGTAATGGGCAGTGCCAGTGCTGCCTCAGTCACCCCTCCCAGCCAAAAGGAATGATTTCCAGGAAACTCAGCTCCAGGTCTGAATCTGAAATTTGGTCTTCGAGCTGTCCAGTCCCAAAAAAAACCCGGACGGTGCTGCACGCCCCACGCTGGCACCCTGCCTGGGATGCGAGCAGCCGAAAGGCAGGAGTGGGCTGGCAGGGCTGCCACCTCCCGCTTTTCCCCCAGGTTTCCTGCCATGAATGCCGTGGGAGAGCTTTGCTAACAGCATCCGTGGCTTTAGCAAGTTTTCCACCTGCTCTGTGTTTTAGCCCACCTCGTTGCAGTCTTGCATGTGGTTTGCTTTTCATGTTTTTCTCCCTTGGCTCCATCTTCTGGTTCTGGAGCGATGCTGCTGCTTCTTTCGCGGTGCCTCCCTGGAATTTCTCCAGCTTTTTCAGTTCCCTTACAGCCTTTCTGAGCAGCATGCTCTTACCTCAGCCCTCTGCTGTGGTGTCCTTTGGCCTGTGCAGCCTTTTACCTGCTTTAGAGGAACCCGAGAATCAGGAAAGAGGGTGGCAGAGGGACCACAGGACTCTGCTCTCACCCTGAAGCGTGGCCAGCTCAGTGGAGGGGCGGCCCGCTAAGCCTGCAGCCTTGCTGCATGCATCCTCTCTGCATGCATCCTCCTGATTTTATTATTGCCTTCATGTCAACGTTTCCCTGGGGCAGGGCTCCTTGGGGGCTGTGCAGCAGTTCTGAAGTGCTCCAGCAAGGCAGCAGTGCTGACCGCGGTTTGAGCAGTCTGCAAAGCCTTGCAGGCAGCCACGGTGCCGCTGAGAAATGCAGTGGGCATGGACTGGCAGAGCTGTTTGCAAGGCCAGTCCCTATATCGGGGCACCCAGCAAGGCTGAGATGCATGCAGCATCTCGTTTTTGGGGTGGCAGGCGACAGGACGTGGTGTGCCAGGGTGCACACAGGGGCCGGGGGGATGCTGTGGCTGAGAACGCTTCCCCATGGGCACTGGGCATTCATCAGCACTGGGTTTTACCCAGCTGCAAGACCTGCTCGCAGTGCTTTGCACGCTGCTTGTGCCTGCTCTGCCTCTCCGAGCTGCAAACCCGGCACTACTTGCCTTCTTCCAGCTCAAGCTCATTGGCACAGCAAAGGTGAGCAGCGGGGTCCCCTTCAGCCCCGCTGCAGACTTCCCTCTGGGAGGAAAACCAGCCGCTGCATGGCAAGCCTTGGTCGTGGTCATTCCCCATGAACGCCTTCAGGGGCACGGGGAGCAGGAGGAGGCACCCTGCAGTCACACGCAGTGTATCACTGCTGCTGCGTCTGTGTTGCACAGGTGCTCACACAGTGCATTCGTTAAAAAAAGAAAAACTAATGTACTGGGATCTTGGCACGCTCACATAGGGGATCAAATCCCTCAAACAGTCGGTCACTGCCTGGATGGAGAAGGAGTCGCTGTTGCAGGGGTCCTCCAGCACTTATATGTCTTAACCGTATCTGGAAGACCATCCTATGCAACCATTTCTGCAGGGACTGTTCCTATCGACTGTTCAGAAATGTCTCAGCACTGAACATCTCAGTGCCCCACATCATCTGTCTCAGGACAGCTTCCCCTCTGAGGCTCCGGCGGGTGCCCGCTCCTGCCACCCTGCCCGCACCCGGGCTGTGCTGTGGCACCAGCGCCGAGTCCCCTCCACTCCAGTGCGTGCTGACCGGGAACTGGATCAACGACCTGGGCTCCAACATGACCGTCGGGGCCGTGAATGGAAAAGGTGACTTTGCAGGCTCCTACCGCATGCCTGAGACAGCCACCATGAACAAGACATGGCTGTCACCACTGCAGGGGTCCCAGCACCATACGAACCAGAAGAGGCAGCCCACTTTCAGCTTCACCGTCAACTGGAGATTTTCAGGTGCTTCTCCTTTCCCAGCCTCCTTGCAGCGTCCCCAGACCTCCCCTGCCCTCCCTGTGGCGTCCTTGATGGTCCCCTCCCCTCTCCTGCACTGTCCCCAGTGCTCCCCCATCCCCAACCCCAGAGCTGCATGGCTGCTGGCATCTCCTGCTCCCCACCTCCGGCTCTTGTCCAGGCAGATCCCGCCCAGGACGAGGTGAGACAGAGCTGGATGCAGGCTCAGCTGGGCTCATCCCACCACGTCCTGCGTATCCCATGCCTGTCCAGTGCCGTGTCCCTGGTGCCAGCAGGACAGGAGGCTGGGGAGGGAAACGTCGCCCACCCACAAGCAGCCTTTTCCACTCCCAAACTGGCAAGCTGGCTGCCTAACAGAGAGAAGACCCCACCCCAGCACCCTCTCCCACCTCCCACCCCTTCCCCGTGGTTTCCACCACCACCTCTGTGGGCCATGCTTTGCTCCCCGGGAAGAGGAGAGTGGCCCTCCTGGTGTCTTCAAGCCCAGGGCAGATGTGTCTCTGGAGGATGCTCCAAGCAGATGCTTATCCCCTGTGCAGGGCAGGGGCCAGAGAGATCCCTCCTGAACTGGACGCAGCCAGCTGCCAGCTCTGTCTTCCCCTGCAGCATCAGCAGCGATGTGTTCACCCAGCTGCAGGGATATCTTGGAGGAGGTGGCTGTGCCATGTCCCTGTGCAAGAGCCAGGCGGTCCAAGGACCCCTGCCCACCCTTGCTACGCTCTTGTATCACTAGGGACCCCTTGGGAGGGCTCAGAGAGGGCTCTGCCCTGGAGCTGTACCCTGCCCAGCCTCAAAGCACCATGCATGCGGTGTCGCCTCCCATGGGGTCTGCGCATGGGAGCACCATGCACAGGGCATCCCCTCCACGGGAACAAGCAAATTTTAATACCTACCTATCTTCCAGAAAAGCCTTTCTGCACTGACAAGAGGGATTAATTCTGAGGTGCCCTAGTGCTCCCACTGCAGTGGGAGCTCTCAGACCCAGGGAAAGCCCAGCACAGCCAGGAGAAAAAACAGCCTAGAAAGCGCAGCAGAAACTTGTAACGCAGGAGGGGACTGCCACGAGGACGAGCTCCCGTGGGCAGACACACCACCCCGCAGTGCAGCAGAGAAGAGCTGGTCAGGCTGTGCACGCTGCAGCGCTGTGTTTGGATGGCAGCACTGGGACGGTGGCAGTGGGGCAGCGCCAGGCTGTGCCCACCCCAAGGACTCCATTGCCGAGCAAGGAATGGGCTGGCAGAGCCTCTTGGATAGTGGATGTGCAAACCACCCCTGTGCCCCCACCTCTCTCCACAGCCGTGCTCATCCCCGCATTCCTCCGGCACTGCCCAGGTCACGCAGACCTCCTCACCTCGCCTGTCCTGTCCCGGGCGCCCTGCCACCCGGCCACCTGCCCCGCGGCTGCCAGCCCGGTGCCCGTGAGGCTCCAGTTACAGCCCTATAAAGGGGACTGGGGTGTGGGGCTGGGAGGGAGCCGTGCTGGGCGTTTCACAGCCCCTTTGCCATGGGGAGTGTTACTTTCACCCTGGTCCTCACCCTGGCTCTGGCGGCATTCGTCACCCCTGTGGAGAGGAAGGTACAGGGACGGGTGATGATGGGGACATGGCAGACATGGCAGTGGGATGCTGTGTGGGCAGCCAGGGGTTCTCTCTTAAATGTTGTTTTAGACTGGGACAAGCAGGAGAACTTTGCAAGCACCTAGTCCAGGCAACGGGCAGGGTATCGTTGGGTCACCCCCAGCCACCTGGGACCACCTCCACAAAGCTTTGCTCCCACAGAGGCACCGTGCACAGGGCATTCCCTCCCATGGGGTCTGTGCCTGGGAGCACCGTGCATGGGACATCCCTTCCCATGGGATATGTGTCCAGGGCACCATGCTCGGGGCATCCCTTCCCATGGGGTCTGTGCTCAGGGGGTACAGTGTGCAGGGCATCCCCTCCCATGGGGTCTGTGTCTGGCTGTACCATGCGTGCTGATGGGCTGGGACGCGCTGGCCTCGCTGCACCATCCACTCAGCAGCCAGCAGCACCTGGGGGAGCATTTCCCCAAACTGGGGACGGGGAGAGCCGCGCCTCTCAGTCGCACTCACAGCAGGGTTTGCAGCTCCGGCCATGGGAGGGATGGGGTCCCGCTCCGTGCCATGTGCGGGGTCAGAGGGCCCGTGGCCATGTCCCTTCAGTGCCGGCTCAGCGGGCTCTGGAGGAATGAGCAGGACTCACTGATGGAGATTTCGGCAGTGAGGGACGACGGAGACTTCCATGGGAAATACCTCACGCAGGTCACCCTCACCGGTGGCTGCGCCCGTGCCTCCCCCCTGAAAGGCGCCCAACAGCAGCCCGGCGAGGGAGGCTGGCCCACCTTCGCCTTCACCGTGCGCTGGGACAAGTTCTCCAGTAAGTGCTGGGACAACTGGGGACGGCACCGCAGGGACACCGGCAGCCGCGCAGGTGGATTTTTCCTCTGCTGGGAAGTCTGCTGGGTGATGCTGTGGTGCAGCTAAGCAGAGGGAAGCAGCGGTGCTTGCCCAGCATGTGGCTAATGGGCAATGCTGGGCTCACACAAGGCAGCCTCTCCTCACCCAGCACCTTTGCATCCATCCCTGCTGGGCAGCCCAAGGTGACCGTGGTGGGTCCGGACCCCGTTAGGGCACGGTGGATGCCGTGCTGCAGAGCCTGTCTCACCCGAGGGAGCCGCTTGGGAAGGGCAGGTCCACCGCCCCCCCCGCGTCCGCGGGGCAGTGCTTCGTGGATGCGGCCGGGAAGGAGACGCTGACCACCATGTGGCTGCTGCGCGAAGCTGTCGGGTCCCTCAAGGAGGACTGGAAAGCCACGAGGTAGTGGGGGAATGTGGGGGCAGCGGCCCCACAGAGGGGCCCTTCCTAGGACCCCTGAAGATGAGCATCCCCCTGAGCGAGGGGAGCACCCCTGGGAACCCCCCAGGGTGGGTTTGCAGCGGGGTTGCCAGTGCCTTCTGGCAAGGGGCTTCCCCTGGCCAGGAGCATCAGGCAGCTGCTCCAGGCAAGTTGTGGGGCATTTAGGGACACCCCTGTCACCTGCCGGCACTGGCAGCCCTGAGTGAGCCATGTCTGCAGGTCATCCCACAGGAACTCTCTGCTTCCCACAGGGTGGGCAGAAACGTCTTCACACGCAAACGCATCCCAAAAGGAAAGATCCTGCCGAGCTTGTCCCCATCCTGTGAGGACGCATCTTGGCCCACCCCATGACGGCATGCTCTGGCTGTAGCCTGGTCCCCACAAGGCAAGCAAAACCGGCCTCTCACATAAAAATAAAATTTAAAAATCTTGTCCGCTGTGGTAGTCTTTTTTAAAAAAATGAGGCACCTTCTGTTCCCAGGGGTACCCCTCCAGAGGCAAGGGCTGACCACTGCCCTTCCCCAGGGACATCTGCATCCCTCACTGATTCCCTCCATCCAGTTCCCTGGGGTCATTTCCCCCCTCATCCTAACCCGAACTTCCACCCTGCGCCATCACTCCCTGCCTGCCTGCTGGTGGCAGAGGTGGCATCAGCACCCCGAATCCAGCCGCCTTCCTTGCAGTGCCTTCATACCCATCCCCACCAGATGCCTTTCCAGTCCCGGGACTCCATGCTCCATAGGGTTGGGTGATGGAGGTAACGGTACCAGTAGATGGGAGGTGCCAGCAAAGTGCCTCCTTTGTGCTGCACAGCACCCGAAGTAAAATGTGCACAGTTAAAGCCCCCATCCCATCACATCCCATTGAATCCCATTGCATCCCATTGGGTCCCATTGCATCCCATCCCATCCCATCCCATCCCATCCCATCCCCCTGGGTTACAACAAGGGATTTTACCCTTCTCTGCCGCTGCATTTTGGCAGTGCCACTCTATCTGCCTCCGTGGACACCTGCCAAGTTTAGTCAGCTCTTCTGACGCAAAGTTTTTGGCAGGTCCATGGGTGCACCCCAGCCCCGGCGAGGCGGGTGCACGCTGCCGTGACGTGGAGTGGTGGCTGCCACCTCCCTGGCACCTCACACAGGGCAGCTTGTCCCTGCCAAAGAGCGCAGAAAGGCATGGCCTGGTGCCAGGCCGAAAGGATGGAGTGTAGCATCCAGGGCAAGGGCAAGAGATCCCCTGCGGGGGGAGGATTTCTCAGGCCCCTATGATAAGCCCATGAGTTTGGGACTGTAAAAGGCGACAAGGAGGAGTGGTGTGTTAGGAGAGGGGTGGTCTCCGCTCGCCCCAGCCTTTGAGGTCACCCAGACCACAGGGAGAGGCGCTGAGCAGCAGCCGCAGCGGCGGGGTCCCGGGCTGTTCTGGGGCTCGTGGTGGGCACCGAGCGGTGCCACCCCAGGGTGGGAGTCCCCCACCCCCAGTATGCACAACACCGCAGCCCTTGGGCCGTCCAGCACCCCAGACACTGCTGCCCGGGGAGCAGCGTCTGTTTATGCAGCTGAATCCCACCTTGATTTTCAGTTGCCCACAGCCCCAAGACTGCTCCAGGCACTGCAGCGAGCAGAGAAGCAGCTCAGGAACACAGGGACAGCGCACTCTGTGTTTTCTACATCCAAAGCCCCTAAGAGCAGCGCGTACAAAGAAGAGGTTCAAGTGCAAGGCTGGTTAGCATGCTGGGTGTGTTTAGCAAACACACTCGCCTGGACTCCAGTGCCCCCCTGTGGTTACTTCTTCCTCTAACGCCTGTAAAAGCAAATGCAGCAAAATTAGCAGCTGATATCCAGAAGATGCTGGGGAAACGTTATTGCTGCTAAAGCAGAAGGCAGGGCGAGCCTTCCCTCCTGCACAGCACTGCAGCTTGCCTCTGCCAGGGATGCCCCGGCACCACATGGGTGACACCCTGGCCAGGCAGTGGCACCAGCAAAGCAGGGAGCAGTTAAATGTTTAAACAGGTAATAATTCCCAGCCTGCATGCACAGGAGAAAAATTCCCAAAGGCGGCAGCTGATGCTTTCCAGGCTGCTATTAGGGCCTTAAAAACACCCCCCTGCCCCTGCCTCTCCACAGATGTGCTCATCCCCACATTCCTCCAGCACTGCCTGGGTCACACAGACCTCCTCACGTCGCCTGTCTGTAAGAGACCGCCCCCCGCCTGTCCTGTCCCGGGCCCCCTGCCACCCGGCCACCCGCCCCACGGCTCCCAGCCCGGTGCCCGCGGGGCTCCAGTTACAGCCCTATAAAGGGCCCAGGGCACGGGGCCGGGGGGGAGCCCTAACAGGCCCTTCGCAGCCCCGTGGCCATGGGGAGTGGTGCCTTTGCCCTGGTCCTCACCCTGGCTCTGGTGGCGTGCGTCAGCCCTGCGGAGAGGAAGGTACGGGGATGGGTGGCGATGGGGATGTGGCGTTGGCACCCTGCTAGACCCCGAAGGCTGCTGCTGGGGCCGTGGTGCTCACCAGGGAGCCGGGGCTGGGCTGCCGGAGCTGGTGGGACCAGCACTACACAGTGCTGAGGGAAGCTGTGGAGAGGCTGGGAGGGAGGGAGTGCTCCTGCGAGGATGCTCTTTGCTGCGGGAATCTGTCCAGAGACAGGCAAATGGAGCCGTGCCCTGGAGAAAGCCCATTTCCCACCAAGCATGCAGGGAAAGGAGCACACCCTCTGCTTTGGCATGGGGAGGACCCGCTCTCCCTGGGTGGCAGCAGCAAACAGCCCAGAGCAGCAGATGGGCTGAAGGCAATCAGTGACACGGGAGTG